ACTGAGGCCCCCCTGGAGCCAGATTGCTCTCCCTATTGTAGAGGGACTCCCGAGAGGCTGTCACTTCCCTCAGCCTGTCTTTTAGTCCTTTAAGTTGAGTGGTGTGAATAGCCTTCAAAATGCCTTTGGGTTTCCCTTTACCCAAAGATTGAGGGAATGCCCCTTTTCATTCTCAGCCACAGGAATTAAACAATAAGATCAAAATCTTGTAATCTTCTTGGGAATTCCTTTTAGTTGTATGGGATCTAAAATGCAGGGTTTTCCCTAAATTGCTGGGCAAATGAAGGCAGAGGCTAATCATACAGCTGGCTTTAGATGCAAACATTTCCAGTGTCTGGTGTGGTTGCCAGTTGTTTGGGATGCCTATGAAACAAATATCTTGATCATTTTTATGACCTGTGCAAGTTTAAGTCTCATTAAGATGTTTTTTTATTATCTGAGGATCTGTTTGCATCAAAAATAAGAGGACCTGGAAACAAAGCAAACTTTAATATTGCAATTTTTTGGTCTTTCATACCACTAATTTCTGAAAAGGATGATCAAAATAGACTCACACAGGGGTGTCCAAACAGCTAATAATTAATATATTGCTTTTAGTAAAAAGAGCAGGACTAAAGATTTTGAGTTTACAGTAGTACTACTCCCTCTGTCTTTGTGCTCTATGGAACACATTGCAAACAATTACCATGTATTATGTGAACTACCTTTCTTCACTGACCAAATCTTCTCTGTTAACAGATATGTTTAACAGAACATATCTGTTCTGCAGGATTGTGCAGGGGGAAAAGACTTAAATCTTCATTTTAAAAATGAGATGCAAATTTTAAATTTGCGGCTATACGTTCCCTGCCAGAAAATGATCCCCTACCATTTCCTAATAGCAGATTAAACACGAAAAAGGAAATACTTGCCAACCTTTGGGTAGGCTTGTTGAAGTCTGAATGTGTAGACATGCAGACAGGGACTTTGGATTTGAGGGGAAATGAGCTTGTGGGTGAAGTTCAGCCTACAATGCGGTTTGTTTAGCACACAGGAGGTTTCTTACAATATCAGTAACACAAACTGAAATTGCTTACAACTTCCCCTGCCTTTCCAACTTTGATGTTTTTTTTTTTCCTTAGGCATAGTTTTTGTTGTGTATATCCCACATCTTGTTGTGGCCATCACTCAGAGAGAAGAATGTTGGGTCTTTGCTGTACCGTTTACTGCACCGCCTTCGCTGTGGGAACTGTCACTGCAACAAAAGCTCTGAAGGGCTGGAAAGGAAACGTGCAGTCATTCTTGTCCAGTTATGAAAATTGCTATGAATGCAAATCAGCTTCATAGAAAGCATTTTCTGCTGAATGCCAGTTTTGCCTTCAATAATGAAAGCCACACTGAGTCATTTGCAAGGGAAAGCTGCTATAAGGGAAGATCTATAAGGGATTTGTCACTTTCAGAATCACTTTGGGGTTTTAGTCTTCAACTGACAAAGAGACCCAAGGAAATATGTTTAAAACTTTAGGTGACCTGCTTACAACATGCTTTAGATTTGTTACAAAGATTTGCAAAGCTTTTGATGAGTTTCATCTAGTTTCCAGATGTCATCGTAGAAACAAATGTAATATTACCATGTGCTATAAAAACTTCCTGCAGCTCTATGAACAAGTTTCCCATGATGTAATTAGAAAGAAGGTGCAGTGTTTTCTTTGGCATGCGTGGGTAAAATACTGTACATACTTATGCTACTGTAAAACCCAGGCCAACTTAGTTCCTTTTAATGAAGTTATTTTGGACTCAGTTCATGTAGAATTTCACTATAGCACTATCTGTATCCGGATACCTTCCCTGAGGGGTAAATACAGCAAAAGTTGTACAGTTTCTTTAGATTTTGTATAGGAAGACAGAATTCTCAATATCAAAGAGGTTGTAACTATTCTAGCCAAGGTAAATGCTGTAGAATCCTTCAGATTCAGATTCAGGTAGGGTTTTCACATGTGTCCATAGCTGGCTTAAGTAAGCTGGAACTTCCTCAAGTGCCCAAGTCAGGACCTTCAACCTTGTCCTCTACAGCTCTTACTCCTCTCTGTTTGCTGATCTGTTATGTGAGGTTCATGGTCAAGAACCATTTTTGAGTTAGATGCCAAATTTCTATCACAAAACATTTATTTTCTTCCACCAAAAAATTCATTTTTTATTGTAGCCAGCTAAAGTCTCTGGTAGCAGCATTGTCGGGGCTGGTGTCTCTGTAGCACTGGTGTAGGTAGATGGCTCAAGACTGATACCACACATAGTCATGTTAATTACTATTTTTCCTGAAACACAAAAACTGTTTAGGACTTGGAATTCACCTATCATTTCTCACGTGGAGGAGCCTGTACACAAATGGTCTTTTCATAAGTCCCTGATGCCTTTTTTTTTTCCCTTAACAAAGAATAAATAAAAGGAAAAAGAACTGAAAGGGGAAAAAATTAAGTTTTAATGGAAACACATTTCATCTTTTGTTTTCTGCTCGCCACAAAACATTAACATAGTAAACAAGTTGATCTTTGCTCTTTAGTTCTTTAATAACATAAAGTATTTTGAGTTTTGTCATGGCTAAGGTATGGTTAAACCACATGTGTCTGGTCATGTTCCAACCTCTATTGTCACAGGTCTTTGACACCAAACTACATTTTTAAAAATAAAAGTTGTGTGTAACCCACTTCTATTCACAGACACCTTTGTTAGAAGTCATCACTTTGGGGAGTGTTTTGTAATATTAGTGGTAGGTAGTGGTATTTTCTGACCAGAACTGCTTTTCCATGGGACATCTTTCAAAGTCCAAGCATTCCCACTGCCAGCCGCTGCTTTGTGCCGTACAGCACCTTTTGGAATGCTGCACCTCCACATGAGCAAAGCTTTTGTAGGATGCTCTGAAACTTTACATTCTAGACTGCTCACCCAGTCATGGGACTGTTACAGTGGTCTCACAGTAGCAGACAGAGCTACTTCAAATAGGGCTGTGGAAGAGAGAAAGTGTCACTTTGGTCCACTTTTTGGAGTGGTGTTGGTGTTATAATATATAACCTTTTTTCCTTTTTTTCTTTTCTCTAACGCAGTGTAGTTCACAATAATTTAAAATACTCTATAGACATTTAAACGATATACAATAATATAACTTAATTGGATTCCTCAATTGTACTTAACAAATACTATTCTAATAAATTTACAGTATCTAGTACCATAAGACTGTGCATTACTGTGTTTGGGAGCTTTATTTGCTTCCTGTCAAGAATGTAGTGAAAGTACAGTATCATCACTATAATTCAACAACAATACCCATGAGTCCAAGGGACTTTAAATTACATGGAGTTAATCCAGTATTTTGGGGGCCCCTGTTGATTTCTGTGAAGTTGCACTCATTCATGCCAAGGCTGGTATTTAGAAATTAACAGCAAAATCAAAAGAAAAAAAAAAAAGGCAAATTTACATTGCTCTGTGAGTCATCAAAGGGGTCTGATTTTCAGAGGATAAGTGCTTGGGGTCAGAAAGTGTTCAAATGAAGGTCCCCAAATCATTAGTTACTTTTGATAATACAGGTCCACAAATTACAGAGGTAATTCTGGCTCATTCACATATCCAGCACAGGAGTTGGTGGAGCTCCAGGTCCCCCTTGCCCCAAGAGTACCATGTGGATGGACAAGTGCTTCCATGTTAGGTGGGGAGGGCTCATGGCTCTGCAGCCCCTCAGTATAAGGAACAAAAATTAAACAAAAGCTAAAAATGCAGATATGCAGATGTCAGGAAATTTTTAATCCAACTTTTCAGAAAATCAGGCAGGGACCCTTGGGACAAGCAAACAATTACATGGTTAAATGGGCTGTGTTCTAAGTGGGCATATCTGGGCTCTTGGGGTTAAAACACTAGATTTTACAGCAGTAAAATATCTGAGGCTGTTTTTAAAATCTCTCATAGGGAAAACGTGTGGGAATTAGGATTGAGTGCTTTAAGTGAGCTTCTTTCTTTTAACATTCATGTGCTTACCAGGAGGTACTCTATTGCCAACCTTAAAATAATGACGACACAGACTAACCCAAATTTTGGCTTTCTTATGCTCATGAAGCCATGACAGCTCAGAGGTTGCAGCAACCTAGAGCTCAGCTGCCAGGCTTTTATCATCTTCTGAGTGCATACTGAGCATAAGTTTCTTAAAAGTCTTGAAAATACTAACTTTCAACCCTTAAAGGGAAACAAAATGCCTGGAAGACCCTGCCAGTGCATTCATTGTCAAAGCAGAACCTTTGATACTTGTTGAAGCACACCTTTGTATCCTAAAACTCCCTATGAGGAGCTGTGAGCAGGTGCTCCACACCTCAGGCCTGAGTCTGAAAAAGTCATTCTTATTCAGGAGGCAAGTGGTAAAAGTCAATATCAAACATTGGTAACCAAAGTTTCATGTTTTTGCTCAGTTCTGGCAATTGCTTAAGGCCTACAGTAATTCAGCTTTCTAATAGTGGAGTGACAACAGATCAGTAGCATTGAAGAACTTAGGCAGAACCAAATACAAAAGTCATACAGTCAGAGTTCCAATAAGTTTACATTTAGTACAGAATTAAGACATAGCTACCCGTTAGTGCTTAGAATTTTTCGATACTATTAAAACCATAAATAATTATTTTTAATGTTCATTCAAAGAGTTCCAGTGTCACTGGCAGCTGATGTAATTTTGTGAATGCTTGTTGGGATTTTATTCCAAACTGATAGTGGAGTATTTCTGACATACATTTTGCTCCCTACCTGTTGTTTTCTCTCTATCTGCTTTCTTAGAAATTTTGGTTTTTGCAGAGAGAACGCTGTGTTCTAGGCAGTGAAGATTTCATTTCCTTAAAAAAGTCTTTGTTTGCACAGGGTCAGACAGTTTTGTTGCTGCAAAATAGGAGAAAATGTCGTTTTCTTTTAATGTCATGGGAGCTGCAATGCAATCAGCTTCTCTGATATGTATAATTTAAAACACTAAGAGACCTCTACAACACCCAGATTGTAGTTTCAAAAAAAAAAAAATGAGAGAGAGAGACAGAAAGAAAGTTTCATGTGGTTGTCAACATCACCTTAATCCTGTTGCCCTTGTTTCCAAAGCAGTTACAACAGCCAGCCAGCCAAAATGCACCATCCTTAGAAGAATAGGTAGTTGTGGGGAGGGAGTGGTTGTTGTGGTGTTGGCTGGGGTTCTTTCCCCCAGGAGGATCAGATGTGCAAAACGATGCTGTCGTTGTTTGTTGTACTCCACTTTCCTCGCTCGCGGCTCTTTGCTCGCGCACGGCGCCGCTATTTGCAAGTGAACACCTCTGTCCTCTCGCTGCACGTGTTGCACTTGACAAAGCAGCACCAGTGGAATTTGCAATTGCACTGCCACACCTTGGTGTACTGGTGTGTGTTGTAGCCCCTGCCGCAGCACATCATGTCGCACCCGTCCGCGTTGGGAGAGGTGCGGTTGCACAGCCGTCCCTGGGTACCGACGCTCCCCGTGGAAGCGTCCTCCTCACAGTAGTTGGGTGACTTTTCAATGTACACTAAATCCGTTTCCATGGGTTTCTGGTAGCTCTTAATCTGCTTGATCTTCAGGAAGGTTGGCTGCCTCAGTCTACTGGCTCTTACCACCTCCACTTGCACTGCGGCGTTGTATTTCTCTTTCAAAATATATCCAATCTCTCTGAATTTAGGGAGCGTGGTCCAGCAGGTCTTGGTTGTGCAGGAACCTGAAACTCCATGACACTTGCACTCCAATTTCATTCTTTCTTCGAGAACCTATGTGTACAGACGTTTGCATATTGTTACTGCAGGAAAATAATGTCGCAAGCCTGCCTGAACCTCAGTCTGTTTAGTTCATATGAATATTCGTTACTGCTGGTTGAAATTTTTCAAATGCTTCTAATTATGCTTTATAATGCTTATATATGCTTTAAAATGCTTATAAATCTTCTCACCTCCCAGCACAATGCTCATAACATTTTGTTTCAAGTGGCACCTGGTTGGAAATACAGTGTTTTGTCTTTTTTTGGGGAAAACATTTCCATTCTTTTTCCAAATGCTGGAGAATATTTACTTACGTTTTAGGAGACATATCTTTAGAGCCACAGGGGACTTCACATTTTTTTCAAATCATTTTCATTTTGAAAACAGAAAACAAGAATGGGTTTAGGGGTTAAGTGGTATAAGATTCAAAATATTTAATTGCTTTAAGTAATGATGAAAGAATGCTTAAGAAGAACAGTATCTACTGTGTGACTGAACAAGCCTACATGCAGAGAGCTGTAAACTAGATGATCTCTAAGGTCACCTACAACCCAAACCATTTTATGATCCTATATTCACTGCACAATTAAAGATTTTTCCTATGTACCTATAGCAACACCACCAGTGGTAAACTTACCAACTATTCCACACACAGAATGTCCCATCCCCTTAAAAAGCAGCACTTATTTTTGCAGTATTTAGTCCAACTATTCAGCAAACAATCAGCCACAGATACATTATTTTTCCACCAGGGCAATGATAACACAGCATTAGAGGGAAAAAAATTCACTGAAGGAGTGAAAGCAATGCATTTCTCTTCTCTCCTGCTCAACGGAGTACTGTTAACCATGAGACAAGAGAAATGCATTGCTGTTGTAGAGGAGGTTCAGCCAGAGGGATTTAATTCAGAGTCAGAGGAGACACAAACTTGAGGGTGGCAGCTCAGATTGATGCCCCATTGCCACACTGCTGTTTCTGCTGCAGCCCAGCCGTGCCACGCCCAGCACATCCCTCCTTCCCAGGTGTCCTAGGTTGACTATATGATGCTTTTATCCCCAATTGTCTTGTTCTGTGCTAAATAATAAGTTTTGCACCTTTAAGACTTGTTCCAGAGAGTGAAGGGGCCAGAGAAGAAGCACACAGATTGTTTTCAGACACTGCACTCGCTCCTCCACATCCCTGCCCCTGGACTGTGCTGTCTGTGGATGGACAGACAGTGGGACAGGGTTCTCCTTTGCTTTTAGTTTTAGCTAGCTGAGGCAAAGAACTTCCCTGGACTGTGGTTTTTTCCTTTTTCCCTTTTCCTTGGACCTGTTCAACCCTGCTCTGGACAGAACACCCAGCAGAGCACCGGCAGCTCCAGCTGTGGGCACCGGGCCGGGCCTGGGCTGTGGCATTTCCAGCACTGGAGGGACTGACAGAGACTGAGTGACAAGAGACTGAGTGAGCTGAACTGCAACTGGGGGAGGGGACTTTCTGAGTTTGTCATCTCTTTTGGAGCAGCAAGGGGTTTATTCATTAAGTTTTATTGTTTAATAAACGGGTTTTTTCCACTTTTCTCCAAGGAGGTATTTTCTCCCACACCAGTTGTGGGGAGGGGCCGATTGAATCTGCTTTCCTAGAGGAGCCCCTCTGGGGGTTCTCTCCCAAATTTGCCCTGAACCAGGACACTGGGCCAGGTTGTGCAGGGGGAAGGCAGCAGCATCCTCCCGCCCCGTGTGTGCAGCAGGGGGAAGGCAGCCCCAAGGAAGCGCCTCTCTGTTTTCCTGCCCTTGCGTTACCACTTAAGGCTGACCATAATTACACCCACAGTCATCATTAGCTTATGAAAATCAGGGCCTAAGAACAAAGCAGGCCGATCTTTCCCCTTCGCAACGGGATGCTAACAAAGAAACATGAGCCAGGGAGCTTGTCTGGAAGCATTACTGATGCTGCAGACCATCTCCTGTAGCGGTTTCGCTGCAGATCCCAGAACATGACTGAAATGGGCAAGGGATAAAAGGGCCGAAATCTGAGTACAATGGCATAATGAAGTAGGAGGGAGTAAAAAATGCTTACTGCTTCAGAAACTGGCCTTAAAATAAAAGCTGTACAGATCTGGTTATCCCTGCAAATAGAGGGCACCCTCCTGAGTTGTTTGAGTTTCACTTAAATTGTATGGTTTGTTTTTTCCCAAATTTCTGGGGTTTCAGTATTAAAGAGAATATTTGGATTTGATTCTCCCTTACCAACATATGGTAGCAAATACGAGATAGCTGAGCAACCTATGCATGAATCATAAAACATCCTGAGCTGGAAGGGGCTCTTCAAGTCCAGCTCAGGACAATTCCAAAATCCCACCCTGTGCATCCCTGAGAGCATTTTCCAAACACTTCTGGCAGCCTTGGGGCCGTGACCATTCCCTGGGGAGCCTGACAGTGCCTGAACAGGAGGAAGAACCTTTCCCTGATCTCCAGCCTGACCCTGCCCTGACCCAGCTCCAGCCATTCCCAGCTCCTGTCCCTGGTCCCAGAGAGCAGAGCTCAGGGCCTGCCCCTCCTGTTCCCCTCAGGAGGAGCTGCAGCCCCTGCTGAGGTCTGACCTCAGCCTGGTCATACCTTAGACCTTCTGGAATCACAGGCTTTACCAGGGTGAAAGTCAAGTTATCCTATCAGGGGCAGAAAAGATGTTTCCCAGGAAGGGAAACTGAGTTGGGGAAGAAATTCCTATAGCTGCAACTGCTCTAAGAGAAGAAAATCAGCAAGGCTGTGAGGAGCTGGGTTTTTTGTAGACACTGGAATGCACTGCATCACCTTCCTGTCTCACATACTGACAGAAGAGAAAACTTGCCACCTTCTTCTGCAGCAGCAGCAGCATTTCAGTGGCAGTGAGGAGATGGATGCACTGTGACACACTCTGGGGTCTTTTAGGGGTCTCCAGGGTCTCCTCTGTATCCATTTCTGGCCTATGGAGAAGGTCTTTCTCCAAAGACCCCTAAGAAAGATTTCAATCCCGTTGCATAAATCTGGGTTCAAATAATCTATTGATATTTAGACGTGTTTGTATATATATATAGGTATTAAAACATGCTTAGAAGTTGTGCTCGACATGAAGCTGTGCTGAAAAATGTTTGGTTTTGTTGAAACCAACCCATTCCTACAGCTTTCTCAACATGCAGCTGTAAGAACTGCAGCAAAATCCATGACAAGAGATGGATGGATGCAACTTTTACACCTCCAGCAAAGAGCACAAGGATCTGAGGATTTCCAGGAAAGCACTGACAATGGGATCTGTCTGTCATTCTTGAGTTGTACTCCTCCCTGAGCAGTAAATATTGCTGAAGGGTCCATATTTTGTCATGCCCTACATATGTTTCTGGAGTCTACATTTTGGTTGAAAAAGCCAAGTCAGTAACTTGCTAAGAGTGGGAGGAGGTGAAGTTCATGAGTTCTCCTTATTCTTCTGTGACTTCAACACTGTCCCAAGGTGCCTCTGATGTCCTTCCCTGATACACTAGAAAGTGTCATTGATCCTGAAAGACAGACATCATCCATTTTGGTGTCCTGGGTGACATCTTTGGAAATGTATATTTTAATTTTATGGCTATATCTATATCTATATCTATATCTATGCCTGTCTGTATAATAATTGTTTGCCTGTGTGTATTTGGTTGAGATGCTGATGTTTATGTACATTATTACATACATTATATATATTATTTATAGACACTACGTCACAGCCTCTATAGTACAATTTCCAGCAACTTTATCCTAAGTCTTGATAAAAATATCAAGACTTTTTTTTTTTTTTTTTTTTGCTTTTTTTGCTTGAAGGTCCAGTTTTGTGATTCATTTTGGTGAGCAGAAACCTGATTTCACTGCTGTGTTTTTTCAAAGATTCCCACTATTTTTGAAGGTGGGAGGATTTGCAAATGAAAGCCATGCAGGCTCAAAAAAATCAGAAGTTTCAAAAAGTATTAATTCATGCTCCTGAGGCCAATCTTGCAGGTTTTTTAAATTTTTTTGGAGGCTTCTCTCATGAATGTGGAATGCTTGGGGTTACAACTCTGAGCAGAGGCCCAATCATCAGGTAGTTAAATTCCTGAATGCTATAATTTGTGTGCCCACAGTCAGCTGTGGGTATAAAATTGTGCCCAAAGACTTGGAGGTTCAGGGAATACAAGGCCCAACCTAAGCAGATTCTGAGCAGCATTTTTTCCCCTCTTTCCATCCAGAGTGCCCTTCCTTGCTGACAGGCCAGCATGTTCTGGCCCTCCAGAGGAATTTATTTCTCTCTGTGTGGTGCCTTGAGCAGCTTCCCACTAGCCAGGGAGGTGCCATGGGACCTGGAAAAGGTGGCTGGATCTGACCCTGTTTGCTCAATGCTCTGAATGAAGAGTAACTAACATTTGGCTTCCTAAAAGTCCCTCCAGCTCAGCTTTCCTGAGGAAAATTCCCATCAAAGCTCTGACCCTGAGCCCTGAAGGTACTTATTCACTCAAATCTAAGACACTGTGCCAAGCTAGGTGCTTAATTAAAGATTGAAAATCATTAGCTCCAATGAGCCACTCTCTCAGCAGTTTCATTTGTCATATGTCAGTGCCTGATATCTAATCTTGAATGGTTTACAGCAACATCTACCTCCCAAAGAGGAAATTCCCATCGTTGGGCTGCGCTGCCTCAGATTAATCATAGGAACATTTCTCAGGTCCCTTTTCCACATCCCACCCCAGTATGATCTTGCCAAGTAAAATTTTCTAACTACTGCTACTTTGTTAAATGAATTGTGAAATAGAATGCTAAAGCTTTCTTAATCCCACATTTTTTATACCTATACAAATCATACATTTAAAATGCAATTTGAGGGCTGCCTGCTGCCAGTTAAGTAGAAAAAGACTTGTGAAGACCAAAATGAAACAAAATTATATGCATTAAAAGAAATTCACTTTTTCAAGTTTCATATCTAGACCCAACTGCATAACATCAGAACATCAGATACAGTTTCTGTACATAGTAAAAATCCTATTTGAATAA